CTTAGGTGGTGACTAGAATCGAGCGCAGGTGCACCGAGTCGCGTGTATATTTGCTGTTCGTCCCGCGTTCCCTTATTAAAGCGCATCGCAAATGTTGTAACGAGTGTCGAACGGGGTGAGGCTTCCTGGGAGAATTTTTTACGATTATAGAAAACTTGTTAACATGAAATTAACGGATGTAACAACGACATTTAGAAAACAAAAACCTGTTTTTTTTTTACGATTCTAAGAATTCAATTGATCCAACGAGAATGTAACGGAATTACATTTTAGATCAATTTTTTACAGCTTTATTATTGGCCTAGGGAATAGAGAGACGAAAATTCGAGTTAACCGAACTGGGAATCGTCAAACTATGTTTATCAGATTATTCTTTCCTTTCCACTGGAAATCTACAATTTAGGAATCTAGATAATTTGACCTTCTGAATATACGATTTTATATTCGTTATGAAATCTAAACGAAATCGATCGTTTTGAACCTATCAGGAATGACTACAGTTTCATTCGGATATAAGTTTACGAATAGATTACACGAATAGATACTCCTTCGCATGACTAGGTTTTGGGACTCATTTTCAATCTATCATATAACATTACTATGTAGTTGTCTAGTCTAAAATTGAAAGTCCCGTCATTATGTATATCCTAAAATCTACATAACCGTTTTCACTTCTACTATTATGCCTTACGGGAGGACACATTTACTCGAATATCTCCATTCAAGAAGTGAACATCGACCTTTTCCATTTTTCATTAATTAAAACAAAAAGTAAATTCACGTATTTCCGTGCTCCACCAAGTGGTCCATATCACCTATGGGAGCCAGTGTCCACGCGACAGCTCTCCTTGTCGGTGTCAGAGCGCGCGTGACTCACGTCTCTGCGTCGCTGAACGCCTCTCGGCAAGTGTCGCCGCCACACGGGGATCTCGGGAACCGCGTCAGGGATTCCCCTACTGGCTGTCGGATCAAGCTTCTGCAGAGAGTTGGGGGAGGAAGGGGAGGGGGCAAGGGAACACTGTGCCGGGAGCAGGAGGGGAAACGAGTCATGGCAAAACTTTTGTCCATTCACGGTCGACACGCTCCTAATTGGGAGTACGCTTCGTGGTCTCGTTCCGCGCGCACGGCTGCTCCGTAGAAATACAACCGGACGTCTTCTCCACGAATTTTCCGAAGGATCTGTTGCTGTTATCGTTTCTAATCGGCGCATCAACAAATATTGACAGAGTTCAACAAACCGACTAGTGGCGCCCGTTAAAGGTTTACGGTGGTGGGGTGTTAGAACTCGTTAATTTTAAAGAAACGGAAATATTTTTTTCAATCTCCTAGATCCTGAACAAAGTTTCGGAATAAAAATCCATTCTTAGGTTTTGGGCGATCAGTCCGTTTATGTAGCTGTCACGATAGTCTTGTGTTGAGGTAACGCTAATGATTTGGGTTGAAATTAGGCAAGCTTTTAAGTGGTCATTTGCCTAGGCAAGTGTTCTACCCGACTTACTGTTTGATTTCGGTAACGGAAGACCCTACCGATCAGTAGTTCGATGTATCGAGGATTCCCAGGGAATCGCGATGCACGCAGGACTTTCGTTAAAAATCGAGAAACGTCCGCCGTAACCTCGCTTTTCGTCTCACGCATAAATCAATCTCCGGGGACGGGCATATTTCTGCGCGATTGACGCACGACCGACGAAGAATTCCTTAACGAGCCCGTCGATCCCGGAATCGCCGTTGATCGACCGTGCACCTGTTTTCAACCTTCCACGTTTTACCTTTATTCTGATCACAGCAGGCGGATTATCGAACTTTGGGAAGAATTTATGGTGGAATCGTTCCACTGTAGAGATCAAAGGACACGCACTGCTTGGAAATTGAATTCTAACGAGTTATTGGGACACGTCTGATTGGCTATAAATTATGACGAACAGACGTAATGTCGCCTTAGATACTGAGACAGAACGAACTGATTGTTTCTATGCTCCGGACGTAAAAACACTTTGGAGTATTTGTTAATCGTTAACGGCCAATTATTTCCACTCTTATTTTTTTACTATCAATGGTAAACATAATACGAGAAACGACAGAGAAGTGGTAATGGATTTCATGAACTTAACTGTAGAGTCCGAAAGAGTGAATGAGAAACAAAGTGTTGTTATTTCATCGAACGGAAAACGAGGCAATTCGTTTTAAAACTGAAATGACTCCAATGACAGTTAGGTTATTTTTTACTGCATACTTCGATTATAAATATACGTAGTACGACATTTTGGTTCTAGCATACGTCTATACCCTATCACTATTGTCTCCAGTTCACAAGTCATTGTTTTTCTCAATCAACCACTTATTAATATATTCAAATAGTATAAAAACTTTGTTGTAAAGAGATAGTAGATTCTCGTAATAAAAGTGGTGGATAATGCGAGAATATTTACAGCGATTTACAGATTTGTTTGCTCCGTTTTTCGAACACGAACAAAGTAACGACGACGACGACTGTGCAGCGATAACACGAGTTTTTAAATGAATAATTTCAAATATACGTGTACGTGAAACGATCTGTCAGTCATCGCAGAAAAGAAGCGATAAGGCTAAAGTTTCCGTCCAAGACCCAGCGTGGTTCTCTCAAGTGTCGGGTACTCCACATCCTGTCTGACCATTGACGCGCGTCCCTCGTGTATACACGCACGAATCGACATAGAACCGTCCGATCAACTCACGTAATGACAATTCAACCGAAATTAGTCAGGGGGACACGCCGGCTGACCGTTTAACCATGAACGACGGTGTACGGCGGCGTGGCTTAGCTTTCGGCGTTTTCACTTTCCTCCGAAACGTGTCAGCAGGTTATACCGCTTCATCGATCCTCTCACTACGACCTTTCTGCACCGCGTCTATTGCGATTACGTCCGAGTGAATTAAGTTGGGAAAGGGGACGTGACGACAGGCTTTGCCAATAATTGTCTCCGCGTTTCACAAATTCGACGCCGAGAAATTTTCACTGCGATACCCCAATGGGGAGGGAGGGCACCGAAATGCAACGGAACGACGGAAATTAGTTGCGGAACCTTCCGTTTCCCGGGTGCCTTCCCAGCCACGTTCCGGCGTCATTAACCCCCCCCCCCCGGCCTAATCAATAGACATAATTATGAAACTATGCGGTATTAATAGTTCCGACCCCGGTCAGGTCATAATCTCGTACCAACACGGGACCAGTTCGCGCGTTATTAATCGGCCATATTTTATCGAAAACAGCTAGTTGAGCGGAATAAACGCGAGCGCGCCCTGTACAGGATGACCCTACCGCTGCGTTTTACGGCCGTTGTCAAAGTGAACGGATTGCGCGTCGCCCTTGTCACAGTGAACTTTTTTCCCGTTGTTTCCGAAAATGAAATTTTCTTGCAATTTTCACACCCTAGCACTGGATTTTAATTCTCTTAGATGATAATTCGCTTCGTCGATTAATCGGTAGGAACAATTAATGACGTTTTAAAACCTAGATTGAATATTTCAAGATACGAAATGCGTAAAAAAATTTGTTAATCCTTTGTACGGAGAAGTAAATCAATTGATTTTTTTATTGGAATTGATCGGTTTGATTTTCCGAAGACTCGAATACTGGAGCTTTGGCGTTTATTGACAGTTTCAAGAATCTAAGAAATTGCAGCAGGCTTCGTTGTACACACTACGGACTAATCGTGAATAATTTCGTAGAAAAACGTAACTAAGAGACATTGAAACATTTGTCAATTTCACCGTTCACGATAACTGAAAAAAACTCTCTATATGAATGCACTTGAACGATGCGTACGATTCTAGTAATTATAATTTCAATAGGTAACTATGTTACGACGTTCCTCGCGTTAAGAATGTTTGCTAGTGAAATGTTGACAGCTCCGTTTGTCAAAGATATGCAAAACTATGAGAAGCTTGAAAATGTGTTTTTCACGATTCATTCGAAGTGTTCAGTCGCGAAATGTTCGTACACTGGTTTACGTATTCCTGTCCACCTGAATGTGCGTGCTTTGGAACTTTTGTGAAATATCTAAACCTGAAAAGTATTTCGTGTCAAATATGAAAATTAAGAAATCTCTATCGAATTCTATAAATTTCTAATAAACATCATCGGATGCACAGGTCACCCTCGGTATACACAGTCACGTACTACACAGAAAACCTCAAATTTAAATCAAAAGTCTAAAAAATGGACACTTTTCAATTTTTTACATAAACCGTCTCGCTCTTTTCTCCGACATTTCCAACATCTTTCTATAGAGAAAAGTATGAATTTACGGTTCTCGTATTTACAAGGCAACACGTTTTAATCCTCTCTATAATTATTCACGGCTTTATCCCTAACATTCACACGTCTGCCTACAAATAAAATTCTAAGTCACTGTCGAAAACGGTTGTCAACCACTGTATGTGGGCCACTTTGCCGCAAGTCGGTCGAGCCCTATCCCCTAAATCGCTGAACTATCCTCCAAACAGCAAGTGTCGGGGAAACTTCGCCACCCTCGCACCCTCGTTGAAACTCGGGGTCGGCCAAGTGGCCGGGAACCTGACCAGCAATTACCAACCGAAAGACTCACGGAACGTGGTTCGATCAGCTCCGGGATCGCGACAAATGATCACTCGTTTAATCCTCGGTATCTTATTTTGCCATTCTGCACATCACGATCAACCCCATTTGCCGGCGACTGGTTACCCCGTATTCCTCTCTCCACTTCGATATTTCACCCCTACGATCCCGCGCGGTCTCGATCGTCAGGAATTCTCGATCACGGACACTTTAAGCCCACAATCACGTCTACCGTAATTTCGCACACCACTATCTTCGAGAAGCTACAAGTGTCCATAGATAAAACTCTCACGCAGGTAGGTACGTATCATCCCCTGTCGTCGGTTAGACGGTTGACGACGAGCCACGAGGATGTAGGGTCGCGAATCTCGACACTCACTGGTATACCACAAAACGGAGCGCACACTGTTGTTGGACCACTTACCTGTTGCCAGAACTGGGCGAGCAGGTATATGCGCTCCTTCTTGAACAGCCAGTCCATGGACTGCATGGCCTGAATGTCCAGCGAGTTGGCCTCCGCAGAGGCCTGCATGCTGGTCAGTGCCGGCGTGTTCAGGCTCGCTAGAACGGGCTGCTGGAGCACGGACGCGTTGCTGCTGGCTAGCAGATTCGCGTGGTAGACGGCCGGTGCATCCTCCGAACCGCCAGTAGCCAGTAATTGGGCCCCAATCGGCGCTGATGGCCCCTGGAGGCCCAGTGACGAAGCCACTTTGACGGCTTCGAGCTTCTCCGCCGGGCCCAAAACTATTCCCCTTCGTTTGCCGGCGCCGCCGACGCCTCCTGGGGCGCACGCCTCGGCCGGCGGGCCCGTCGCTACCGTCTCTTCCTGTTCGTTAGTCCCGGACACTGTCCCGGAACACACTGGACCTGTCGCACCACACACTGGTCCCACGGTCACACGGTATCGCACAATGTCCTTCTCGTGTTCACCAGAGTCATCGACGAGCAGTCCTGGTACGAGCCACCAGGCGTTCGAATCTCGAGTCAGGCCGTACGTCACGCTGCCCGTGGTTCACGCGACGGCATCACACCCACACTCGCGCGGTAAAACCGACTTGCACGCACTGCACGCGGTCACACTTCACTACTGCCGCCGCCGCCGCCGCCGCCGACGCCGCCGCTTTTTCCCTCGTCTCGTCTCGGTTGATCTCGGGAAGAGTGTGCGAGACCCGTCCTAGCAGGCTCCTAACCTGAAACTAAGAGCTACCGAACAACCGATGCGATGTCTGGAGGAGGTGCACAAACGGTAGAGGGGATAGGGCGGAGCTATCGGTGCACGGAAGGGGTAGGCCAGCCCACTCGAACGCCAATAGCCCGACGGCACCGATCCCCACTACCGTTCGTGATCGCTGCATTCAGAGGAGAGCGTCGCGACGGTGGGGATAAGCTGCGCGGTGGAGGGAGACGCCGCGGAAAGGACCGGAGGCTGGCTAGGTGGTCCCTACCAGAGCGAATCTCATATTTTCAGCTCCCCGACCGCCCTTTTCTCCAACCCCTGCCGATCGTCGGGTTCCCTTCTTCTTTCGTTCTTCTTTTTCGCCCGGCGTCTCCCTCCTCGTTGTATCTATGTTTCTTATTTTCACCCTCCCCCTATATCCCGCCCGGCCCCTCGCCACCCCCCTCCGCTCAGACGCTAACCCTTCGATTGCTCTTTGGTGACTGAGCAGCGGGCCTTTGTTCCGAGCGCCGTTACGATTTTCAGACGCGGACGACGACAACGAGGTGAGATTCAATTTCGGAAGGGTTACTGACGCGGGGTCACGGGTTTTTTTTAGGGGAAAATTTTACCCCGCACCGACGCCATGCCTTCCATTTTTTCTTCGGGATCCTTTCGCTGGCAAATGATGCTATTTCAACTCATTTTGGAATCAAATCGATTTCAGACTATTGATTTTCATACGGATATGTATTTGATTTCGATGATTATTATTTTGCAGCGAAAGGATCGATGTATAGATCGAGCTCCTCTCGCGATATCAAGCAGGAAGCAGCATAGAACTTCGTGAACCTCGAGATACATGGGAGAAATGAAGCGTTGTTTAAACAATTAAACTCGATGAAAATGCACACGCACGAATGTCAGCCGTTTTCCAAGTCAGCTCTTCGCCCGGCTCGATTGAATGACATATTTGTTGAACACGAACGATCGAATTTCGCGTAAACAAACTTCGCACCGATGATTTATCATTTTTGACGCATCAATAGCAATTATTTCAGGCACACATGTGCACCGTCTAACATTTACTCTATTTTGCTTCGTCGACAGTTTCGGAGTCGGGCGTACTGCGAACCTCGAGTGGGCCTGTCGTTGATGAACTTTTTACAAAAGAATGAACTCTAACACTGTCTCGAAAAGGTGTTAATAACAAAAATGTACACAAGTATAGGAAAAATTATGAATCACAACCACTGTCTTCGGACTTCATTTTAAAAGACATACAAGTTACACCGAACCCTCCTCGAAGCTTCAACCTCAGATGGGGGTGGAGAGGGAGGGTTGAACGCGTCGATTCCAGGAAGCCGTGAAAGGCGTGCAGCTTCCGGCGAACGCGTTAATCCGCGTTACCGTGTTAAGCACACTTCGTGACAGTCGAGTTAACCGGCGCCGGGGTCCCGGATAATGCAACTTTAATTTCCGCGGCGTTCGCCGATTACACGGAGTTAATCATCGCCGGTGGATGATAGTCGCTGTTGACGCGGAAACGAAAACAACTGTAACTTGATTCACGCTACCAATGCCGCGTACTTGTTGCTCGTGGTTTTCTTTTCGATCGATTAACCCTGCCAGAAAATCATCGATACATAAAGTATATAGATTTCTGTCCCAGAGGAATGTTGTCGGAGAATCTGAGATTACACGTGTCGAACGGCCGAGAATTTGGAGACACTGTTAAGAATGGCTGAACTGAATTGTTGTAGACAATAAATACGATTATTCTGTCCCAGAATACGGAAATCTGACGGAAAGCTAGTCGAAGAATCGCCTTTTTCCGACGAACACGAACGAAACCGATAACGGTAGTCAATCGAGACGGTACCAATTATTTTGATAGAATAAATGTCAAGATTTTGTACTAAAGCAGAGAAGATTGAAGTAAAGTTTTAGGAATTGTCGATCATCGAGGTGGACGAAACTGCTACTAATTGTTACTAAAGCGAATCTGTCAACTAATTTTCATATTCTGGATGTAAGAATTTTCTCCTAGAATATTGGAAGTTGCAGTAACATATCTCTCTTTTTCCAAAAACAACCAACAAATAATGTCAATCAGTCTAAGATGACAGGGGCTTCCGTCAACGTAACCGAGTGCAGATCAAAACAAATAATAATGATTGTATACACTGAAAGTCTCTACAAAAATATTTTGCTTTAAAGTATGAAAAATAAAAATAGAATGAATATTTGCAGAAATTTCATATTTTCATGAGCACATTTAAATTTATAATAAAATTAAGTTTCATAAAACTGCACTTTTACTCTGAAAATTTCAAAATAAAAGTGATCCAAACGTTGACAGCAAATTTAAATTCCTGCTACTAGAATTAAAGGACTAGAAAAATTTCCATGGTACATGGAAGAGGAATTTTTTCAATAAGGTATATTTTCACCAGACTAAAGAAGATGCCGGGCGTTCGCGAAAATTCGTCGCAGACGCCCACGAAAATACTACACGTTGTCGGCTTGTCAGCGTATGCTTTACGATCACCCGATATAACGCGGGGATTAGTTTGTCAACGCGGGCCGGCGTGCGCGTACACGCGCCTGCAACTCCATCGCTAATGCGTCTTCGGAGCATTGTTGCCGAAGATTTCCCGACGAACGTCTTAGAATCATGAAAATCGCTGCCACTCGCGAATCTTGGTTTCGAAATTAATTTCTGTCTTATTCAAGAACAATGCGATAGCCAATCACCATAGAATGACGTCTAAAAGTAAGAATTTTCAAAACTTTAAGCGGAAAGAGTAGCTGATTAGCAGAGTAGAAATGTTTGAAGTAGTTGCAATTTGTAGAGAGAATCAATAAATATCGACGATTTTTGTTAAGACTACAATATTAACGGAAAAAGTTAATTACTAACACTAGGTTTATGGGACGCGTCATTTTGACGCATTTCGAATGCTTTCTAATCTCGAAATTCGAATAAATTTGACGAGATCATAAATTGAGTATTAAATAAAATAAGTTGTTTTTTAAAGAAAATCTGCGGTTTCGTTGACGCGTGTCCGTGGAGATAGGTATGAAAGAAATGTTCGTAAACCTAGTGTTAAGAGACCAATTTCGTAATTTCAAGTTAAATTGTATTGCAGAAGAAAGTTCTTTCTTTCAGTTCGTTCGAGAAGAGATTCAACATCCTACAGAACTCCGCACGGTAAACGATATTTTCAGAATTTTACCTGCTGTGAACCGTGCCAACACTTTCATTAACAAAATCTTCCAAGAATATCGAAGAATCGGAACAAGTTCACTTCACTCGACATTAACTTTCTACCCCAACCAACGTCATCTCTGACGAGCACTATCACCACTCTTGAAATACCACAAAGCGCGGAAAAGGTTCTTAAACATTTCAAGGCCGCGGAGAACTCAATAAAAACCACAAAGTCGTTAGGATAAGGTGTCATTAAAAAATCACACCCTCCATCCAACCGCCGCAACCACCTCCACGATTAATTCTACTCGCGAAATATTCTGTTTCATCGTAGCGTCGGTGTCGAAGAATCATTCCCTTCGAATCTCCAAAGACATCTCGGACCGATGATTTTTGTCTGGACGTCGAAGAAGAGCCAGGGACCAGGGAAGATACGTCGAGGTGATCCGTCGAAACGACGCGGCGCGGAACCACCAGAGGTGATGGCCTCGGCTCGTGGAATTTTGCTGTTCGAAGCAGCAGGACTCGCTTTCTTCGAGCGGTCGCACGCTACTCAATATACCGGTCGACGATAAACGCTACCCTCCGCCCCCCCTCTCTCCCGGTCTCGCGACCCCCTTCGCGAAGCAACGCGACTCTGTTCGAGGGCGATTGTAACAATATCTTCCGGCGAGCGAAGGATGAGCTGCGCGCTGCCTAAGTTCAAGAGCCGTGCTCAGGGACACCGCGCGAAGACGGGATTTTTTTTTCGCTTGAATAAGATAATCACAACACGCGGGGTTGCTGCACGCGACACACGGGGGTTCCGAGACCTCGCGCGGAGTCTCTTCGTCGAGGAAATCACTCGAAAGATGATCTACCGTAGAGAAATCTTTGGATCTTTTGCGTTATTCCCCGTGAAACTGGGGTAATTTTCTCAAATAATGTTGCGACACACGACACTGCGGGAACTTGGGAAGATGGACCACTATTATTTCTTAGGAAATCTTGTTAGGGAATGATTCCGAAATTTTCTGCGACGATTAAGTATGTAGACTGTGGGGGTAGATTCTTTTGATGATATTGAAATGACACTCGAGGAGAAAGAAGAACCAACCACGGCCCACAGACAGTTAATTTCAACAAATTAGTTACCAGAGCGGAATTTTACGCCGTTAAAATCGGTGTACTATAGGGGGTAGTTTCTTCTGAT